CCTGCTCTCTGGTGCCAGTCGATAGACTGCAGGACTCTAGGCAATTCTATAAACTTCCCTAGAGACGGCCAATTGAGCTACGTCAGCTTGTTACCACCGGCAGATACTTCTTTTGCCCGAGCTGTTTATGACCAATCCTGTAGACTTTCCAACAGCCCTCCTGTCGACCTACTCGGAATCGGGGCTGGTCTGGAGTCAGGTTGTGGGTACGGCGACCGGAACTAACCCAGGCTGCGTCCTGATTGCGTACTCGTACTGTCTCCAGCCACAGTTTCTGCGATCCAGACCGCTGTGGAAAGTCTTGCTGACGCATGCCATCACAGGGTTTCTTGGCTCCTTTTGCGAAAACGTCTTTCTTGCCAAGCAGATATCCGATCCCAATGAGAACTGGGCAGTGCTACTGGGACTCAACGAGCTCAACTGGATCATTTTTGAGTCGTCCACCGGTATCTGGCGCACGGGATAACGCCTAGTCGCGTATTCCATTTTGAAGCTCGACATTATTATTCTGGATCCCAGGCACGTCCTGTGGCTCCACCGCGCCATGTTTGGTTTGTTTCTTGGCTTTGCCGCCTTTCGCATCGACATTGGCGTGTTGCGGTACCACTTCAACACCACGATGAACGAAGACATAGCGCAGGCACATGCCCATGCCTTTGTTTGGTGGGGGGTGGCCGATCTGATTGTGCTGGTGCTGCTGATGCACTACACGCTGGACTATGTCAAGATGGGTATGGGAGCCGGAGTCACCATTCGCCTGGTTCAGAGCTCAGCGCCGCGCATCGGCCTCATCGTGTTCAACAGTAAGCCAGCGGGTCTAAGCCGCAGCCATTTTGATTGTCATTGTCGGCCAGCTGACCGCCAGCTCGCAGGCCGTCACGAATCTAAATACCTGGGTGTGGACCGTCAAGGGGGTGTATCCCATTGTGCTGCTGTTTGACATGCAAACCACCAAAACGGTCCTGGCGTCGAACGACCGGTCAAAGGAGCATCAGCTCTCGTACATTTCCCGTGCCTTGCCGTCCGATCTGGCCGACAGTCCTGCCGGCGCCATGTCCAGACCAGCCGAGGCCGCCACGCATCTTGCGTCCTCTGACGCAATCCAAGACTAGCAATGCATGATTCCGATGCCGACACTGTATCGTTGGTTGAATAAACCAAGCGACGGCTGCTCCCGCCCGAACAGCCTGACGGCTACCATCCCTTGCCTAATATTTCTGTTGCTTGTATTGAAAATGATCCAGCCAGAAGATTAGGAAATCTCCGAATTAGTCCAGTGGTTAGGATTCCTCGCTTTCACCGAGGCGGCCCGGGTTCGATTCCCGGATTCGGAGTTTTTTTATCTTTTTATCAGACTACTGCTGTGCATTGATTTTGGAGAGAAAAGGCTGGAGATGGACGCTGTCGCGATGGGATGCAGTCGTGGATGTCGTCTGTGCTGCCTACAACCCCGCCAGCCAGCTGCGCAGGACACCGTGGGAGAGGCAGTCAATATTCTGACGGTTTGTGGACCAGATGGTTCCGGAAAAGGCTCAGAGGCTGCGGACAAACTTTTCTAAAAATGAGCGACGACAAAGGTCGAATTAGAAAGCTATTTGATGCGCTGGACAAGAGAAAGGTCGGATATTTAGACGAAGAGCAATTTGAAAGAGAATTCCGACAAAAAACCGAGTCGCTGGTCCAAGGTGCTTCCAAACGAGAGTGTGCAAGGGCGGCAAGAGAACCCCGCCAAGATGGCAGCAATGGATGGAAAGCCAGGACCGGGCTGGGAAAGGACTTGGTAAAGCAATGTGATAAGACGCTGGACGGAAGAGTGACCTTTCAGGAATTCAGAGATTTCGTTGTCCAGAAAGACGACGAGCTGCTCAAGCTCTTTAAAAAGGTCCGGCAGCCGAGTTGCTCATCCCCTCCCGCTAGATTGCCAAGGAGGACCAGGTGATCCACGTCTCCAAACTGCGAGACTCTATCCGCGAGGCCGGTATGCAGCGGCGGCTTACACCACAGGGCTGTCGGTGTCGGAGCCAGACCTCAGGGCATTTGTGGACAGCATAGATTCAAAAAACGACGGGGTCATTGACTACACCGAGGTCGGTCGCTCGCGCTCATCCGTAGTGGCGAGACTTTCTCTTTTTGCTGCCGCATCCGGTCACCAATCTGAAGACGGTGTTTCAGTTTTTTCACTCGGTCGCCGACGTGGACTTTAATTCAGACTCGTACGCCATCCCCAACAAAATATCAGAGGGAGGATGGACGGGACAGTTCAAGTATTTATTGGCCGGCGGGATTGCCGGGGCTGTTAGCCGAACTGCCACCGCTCCGCTGGACCGGCTAAAGGTGGGTGGTGGACTGGGCCGACGCGTAGGTGCTGCTGCAGACCGAGACACAGACGCACCGTGCGTATTCCCAGATTGTTTCCATCCGCAAGGGGGTGCTGCGCATCTACAAGGACGGCGGCCTGCTCTCGTTCTTCAAGGGAAACGGGCTAAATGTGCTCAAGATCATGCCCGAGTCGGCGCTAAAGTTTTATGTATTCGAGCATGCCAAGGACTATCTGGCAGCACGACTGGGGAAGCCCAAGGAGCAGCTGGGCGTGGAGAGCCGGCTGGTTGCCGGCGGACTGGCGGGTCTGCTGAGCCAGTTTGCTATATATCCGATTGAAACCATCAAAACACGCATCATGTCCCAGATTACCAACCGGCCGCCGCCGACCTCGCTGGGAACCCCGTTGACGGCGCCGGCCAAAGACATGTCGATTGCGACTGCGATTGGAAATCTCTGGAAGGAGAACGGCATCAAGGCATTCTATCGAGGCTGCGGGCCGGCGCTGGTGGGCATTGTCCCCTATGCGGGTGTTGACTTGGCCGTGTTTGAAACGCTCAAGAACACCTGGATGAAGATGTACCAGCCGCACGACGCCAAAATGCCGATCCATATTATGCTGGCCTGTGGTATGGTGTCGGGCACCTGTGGCGCGGTGCTGATGTATCCGCTCTCTCTCGTCCGCACCAGGTTTGGACCGACTCGCTCACCGCAGATTGCAAGCCCAGGGGACTCCCAGCCACCCGACCTATTATACCTCGACATTTGATGTAGTTCGCAAGACCTTCAAGAAGGAGGGACTCGTTGGATTTTATAGAGGCCTTGCCCCCACGCTGCTAAAGGTGCTTCCGGCAGTGTCCATCAGCTATGTGGTGTATGAGCAAGCCAAGATCTCCCTGCGGCTCTCGTGATGCGCGCAGCTGCAGCCATAAAAACATTCCCTCACGTTTATTGCTAGTCAAACACCTTGTCTACCGGATTGGGCTCCACCACCGCCCCATCGACCTTTTCCTGTCGCTTGGCTTTGCCCACCTGGCGCTGGGCGTGCTTGATGGCCGCCTTGCCCTTGATGGCCCTACGGACGTTGTTGGCGGTCACAAAGTGCGGGTTCTCGTACAGCGTGCTGCCGCCAAAGCTGCCGTCAAAGATGCGCATCAGCTCCAGGACAAAGCGCGGGCCTATCTCCACCAGAGTGATGGCCGGCTCCGACGTGTTTTTCTTCTTGGGGGCCGTGTCGTCCTGGGGCTCCTCGTTCGACTCTACGATTTGAAAGTTTCTGATCCAGATCTTGTTGTCCAGCACCGAAAACGACATGACGTGGTCGATGAACGGCTTGATTTTCCTGCTGGTGGTGGGAACGGCGTAGGCTTGGGTAAACAGCTCCTTGAGCAGCACAAGGTAGGGCTCCGAGTCAAAGACGCCGTCAAAAGACAGGATCGGCCGGCTGCCCTTTAGACAGTTGCCCGTCATCTTTAGCTCGTCCATGGTGTGGACGTTTTTCACCGTAAACTTTGCCGACGGGCCGTTGGGGGTCTTGCTGATCCACAGATACATGTCCTGGTGCTTGCGCATTTCAAAGTAGACGCAGTTGTTGCAGTTGTTCAGCTCGGCCAGCTCGTTCAAGTCCTCCAGCCGCGATTTCGAGTCAATCTTGGCGTCCTTTTTGCTGTGCGGCATCAACACATGGAGATCTTGCATCAAATGACGGAACCTGGGATTAGCTGGCAACGGCAGCATACCTAGCGGTGAGCAACGTGGCCGTACCGGTAGTTGACACCACGGGACGAAATCAACAGCGTTCGCTGCTTGTTCTTGACGTGCTTGTGTTTTTCCTGGGACTTTGCGGCGCTGTTGGTTGGGAGTCCCTTGAGTAGGGCCTTGCGTCCTCCCACCTCGTCGTCGCTCTGGCTCTCCTCGTCGTCCATGTCCTGGTCGTGGCTGGCACTGACCAAAAATTCTTTCTTTTTGATGGCCGGCTCAGCGTCTTTCTTTTTGCTGACTTTGCTGACGGCTTTGGGCATTTGTTTTTTTTTTAAAACCCGTCTCTGCCTTTCCACCAGTCGACACCAACCCTTTCCAGCCCAATCGGCTTAATTCCTACTGGCTTACGATGGCCGGCAAATGGCTGCTTGGCGTCCCCTGCTTCCCTAGCAGTGAACAGACGCTGCTGCTGGATTTGATCACTGGACTAGGGCTCCTACGAACTCGAACGAATCCGAACTTTGCACAGGTCTTGTTCTCTACTAAGCCATAAAGATCTGGTTGAGATAGTTTAATGTTATCTCGGCTAACTGCTGAATGTAAAGCCAATGATTTACGTAAAGGATCCTGTATAATTGCCAACCAGGATGAGCTTTGAAGGACGTGACATTGAATCGAAATAACTGCGATTGAGAGCACCTTGGTATGCTTGTCCTCGAATCCTTTCAGGGCTCCATTGTGTCGTTTGCAGTAAACCCAATCTGGGTCGTGTCGCGTGCATTTGCCATCTCGGGTTCTTGACAAACTAGACTAGGACAATATACACTGCTACTGTTTCCATTCACTTGTAGATAATGTGGCCCATTATGGTCGAAAAAGACTTGCCAGAGTCAATCGTCACCAAATACTCGTGGCAATAGCTATGGACGGCAACATCAGGTGGAATTGCCTGATATGCAGTCCAAATTGAAAAAAAGAAGCTCCGAATCCGGGAATCGAACCCGGGCCGCCTCGGTGAGAGCGAGGAATCCTAACCACTGGACTAATTCGGATCTGATGTGGTCTCATTACATCGGCCTTTATAGTAACCACTCTACCACTCATGCTAAAGCTAGTGTATGTCGCTGGGTAGTTTTTGAGACCACTCTACCAAGTCTTCCTCCTCGTCCCAGAACAGGTCTTTTGCAGCTGGAGTGGCTTCGACGGATAACGACTGCTCGGACTGCAAGACCGACGCAGACGAGTGGGTTCGCTCGGTGGCCGTGGTGGGAAGCGAAGGAACGGTGACGACATCCTCGGACGGCGGCCTTGGTGCGCTCGAGGGCAGGAGGCCAAGGCCGGCCAGGGCTTCCTGGATCTTGTCGGGCAGGTAGTCGAGAGGAGTCTTGGGCACGGGTATGGGGTCTCCAGAAGCGTCTGGCACGTCGTTCAGGACATAGATCTTTTTGAGGTGGTTAACGCGCTCCTTCTTTTCGGCGACGGTGGTCGGCTTGGGCTGCGGGAGGTTTCCGTACATGAGCGTTTTGGTGCTACCGATGAGACGCAGCAACTTACGAGTCCAGCAGGTCCTTGACGTGCGCATTGGAGATCTTTGTGTGCTGGGTGCGGAACTTGAGCAGCTTCTTTGGCCTCACCGGTCCCTTGGGCAGATCGGGGATGGGATAGTCGTGCATCGAGGTGCTGGTGTTTTTCCACTCCTCGTAGTACTCGTCAAACGACAGCACCTTGATCGGGGTGCTCGCGACGGCTTCTTCCTGGACGGCGGCAACGGAGCCAGTTGTGCTCTCGCCGGGTATATAGTCGTCAAACATGGGCAAGCCCTGCTCGATCCGGCGCGACGCAACAACGGCGTCTCGGGCCAGCTGGCCAAAGAGCAGAGGAGACTCCAGATACATCTCGGCGGCATCGGGATTGACGGCATTCTCGACCTCGGGGTTGGACAGCAGCGTCTGCGGTTAACGCGGCGCAACCCACCTGCAGATACACCAGCAGCTCCACCACCTGAAAGTCCCGCCGCCAGGCGTCGTGGTCCAGCAGTGCGCAGCACGGTCGTCCGGTTGACAGGTCGATGTTGGGATGGAACGGCACCGTCAAAAAGTATACCAGCGGCGGCGTCTCATTGAAATGCGCAGTGAAATAGATGCGGAGTTTGAACCGGGCGTTCTCCCACGGAGAGTCTTTCAGTCCCGTCAAGACACAGTCCCATTGAAACAGATTGGACGTCAGCGCAATCTCAATCCCCTGGATGCATTATTTCCCCGCAAACTCACAAACGGCCGGGTCTGCTCGAAAAAATAAGCTTCACGCTGCAAGAGTCGGGCAACTCGCGAGGTCATTGGCAAAACCCGTCTCCGCAACGCTGTCCGTCCAGCGCCAGCTGCCTTCCAAGCTTTATTTCCCAAGCCCCGACCGGAGCATCAGTTCCGAGACAGATGGCGGAGTCAGAACGCCCTCGTTGGTAAACAGCATCGAGATGTATTCCGGCGGCGTGTAGTCGACCTCGGGGTTGGACAGAAGACAGTCGCCGTGGTCCTGCTCGTCGTCAAAGTACTCTTGTGTTTTGGAGGAAAAGTCCAGGTCCTAGCCGTCAGACCGGCGTCGTACATTCTGGTTCAGCGGAAAGACATCGACAAATTTGTACGACTCGCAAACGCAATATACAGGCTTCTTGGCCACCTTGGCCATGACCGCGATCGGCAGCGTTCCGATTTGGTTGATCAGTCCGCCATTTCGCACCACTCCCTCGGCACCAACTAGCGATGAGCCATGGCGGCACGTTACCCAGGACGAGGTCTACTTTTTCCATCGTGTAGCCAATGGCTGCGTCCGCGATCAGGGCTGCTGGGATGTTGCATCGCCGCAGTTCCGTCACTGCCTTTTTTCTGCACATTAGCTCTGGCGCAATCCCACCCGGCCTGAGAAAAGGAAGCAGCGGTTACGTAGACTTTGAAGTGGCGGACGGTGCAGGCCTTTTTCAGCAGCAGCAGCACCAGACGGGAGTACGAATGCACCAGCACGGTGCTGCCCTCCTTGATAAACGGAACGCCGTGGGCTGCCGCAAGACTACGGAACTCTTCGCAGTTCCCCACCATGATGCTGCCCCTCTCGATCACTTCCTGCTGGAACGTCGTGAACTCGACGCTTGGGATGTTTGTTATAAACCTACATCGGCATCAGTGGCTGCAAGATGGTTCCGGGAAGGGTGCTGCCAGTGCTGTATCCCGTACCGTAAAAACAAGTCTGTCCCTGCTTGGTGCGAAATAGAAATGGATTTCAAAAAGGCCGTTTCAATGTTTAGCAGAGACATGTATTCGCTCAGAGTGCTGGCTCGACTGGCTCTGGTGTATTCGACCAATGCTTTTACCGTGCACACTGGAATGGCCTGTGGTCAGTGTCGGTAAATACCATGTCTGGATTCATTCGTTGGATCTCTGACAGCAGCACCAAGATGGAGTTGTGTGCGGTATTGTTTGAAAACATTTGGGCAAAGTGGATCTGGCTGGTATCTGGTATCTACGTCGTGCTACTCCCTACTACTACTACTACTACTACTTACTACTCCCTACTACTCCCTACTACTACTACTACTACTACTTACTACTCCCTACTACTCCCTACTA